ACTCGGATGGGGAGGCCACCGTCAGGGACTCCAGGCCCCGGCACCCCGCCAGACGGGACAGGCTCTCGCACATATCCACTGTGGGACCGCCGCCGCCGTCACCGTTGCCGTACAGCATGTAGCCCGCGGGTGCCCGGTCCTTATCCTTGGAGTTGGTGGCCGTTAAAAGGATGTCGTGCGCGTCTGCCTGTGTGCGCGTGTGTACGTATGTATGTACGTGTGTCCGAATGTGGTTCGTGGGATGGGGTTTCTGGGTTATGGTGTTTGGAGGGTTGTAATTTGAATAACTACAAAATGCAAAGCAGCGTAGAAAGTAGAAATGGGTTCAAGAGGGAACTGCTGTCAAGTATGCATACATACATACATTTGGGGGGTTGTTTCAGAGCGCCTTTGACTTTGCCCTAGCTGAGACTTGTGGCCTCGCTCTAGCGGGACCTGAGAGCCCTTCGTGGTGTATTCAATGCAGCGCCATCCCCGGATGGAGGGGCTGCGGAGTGGCTGCGTAGAGTGTTGGCAGTCTGAGTCGGGGTCGGGAGCACACAAGACTAACCGACTTGTGCTGTGTGCTCCCGACCCTTGCGCTGTGTTTCGGCTTCGGCCCCCGGCTCTCGCGGCCCACAGTGTAATCTAAGTCATACATACATACATACATTATATACACAGACACACACGCCCACCTGCGCGTTGTACGTATTGGCGGGGGGAAAGTGTGTAAGCAGCGAAGACCCGTCGAGCCCAGCCCACTGGAAGGTGGAGTGCGGGAAGGTGTTGATATTGTTCCAACTGAGCTTCTGCGTCAGGAAGTAGCGGATACCTGAGAGAAGTCCGGGAGGGGGGAGGGGGGAGCAAGGGGGGAAGGGGGGGGAATGCGTGTCGGTCGCCAGAGCTGCTGGCCATTGCCAAATTAGCTAAGAATGTGTGTGTATGTGAACGCAACGGCGGCAGAGAAATAAATACACATTTGATGGCACGCCGGTGCATCCGGACTCCTCCCCCCCCCTCCCGTGGAGACCCCTCACCCGCGCCCCGGGCAATCTGCGGCAGTTGCCCGCTGTAACCGAAGGTGTCGGGCAACCAAAACACGTCACAACGACTGCCAAAATGCGCCTCAAAAAACCGCTGGCCGTACAGAAACTGCCGTATAAGTGACTCCCCGCTGGGCAGGTTGGTGTCCATTTCCACCCACGTGCCTTCGGGGGGCGGGGGGAAACCAAGAGGGGCGGGGAAATGGGCGAGGGGAGTGTGGGTGGGTGTGGGGGGTTGGGGGAGCCCAGGGGAGTGTGGAGCGGGTTTTGGGGTCTTGGCAGGGGGGATATCAGATGGTGAGGGCGGACCAGGACCCGACACAGACACCCTCCGCACCCCCCCAAGGTGCTTGGCGGGGTGTGGCGGGTTTCTCCCACCTACCTTGCTTCAAGTGAAGATTGGTGCTCTAGTCCTCACCTCTTAGCCGTTAGCTCCCCTTCCCCCCACAACAACAACAACTACAACTAGCACTACCACTACTGCTGCCACTACTGCTACTGCTGCTGCTCACCTCCCACAGGTACGAATGTGCCCCGGGCCGCCGCCTCCTGAATCTCCGAGAACAGCCCAGGATAGTCCTGAAGAAGCCACTCGTACTGCTGGGCCTGTACGGCAGGGAGTACGACACGCGAGGCATGGGATACAGCAGATGGGGGCCCGCGGCTTGTGTCTGAAAATCTATCGTACTACCACTGCAACACGTACGTAAGCTACTCCATGCGGTGCATCTCCATCCCTCTCCTTCCCTCCCTTCTCCCCCTCCCTTCCCCCCCCTCTCCCCACTGACCGACGACGCGGTGAAGACGTGCCAGGGGTACCTCTCCGCCAGTCGCAACTGCGAGCTCCAGCTGCGAGCCGTCTTACGGTGGGTTTCGGAGAAGGGCCAGAGCCAGGCTGTGTCGATGTGGCAGTGACCCACTGCATACACCTGCGGACGGGGGAACAGCAGGGAAACCCAAGGGGGGTTGCGTGTAGGTGTGTGTATATGTATGTATGTGAGTCGGTGGGATGACGTCAGAGGACCTGTACGGACATGGCTTCATGCGACCATGGCATAATGACCCACGGGTCACACTCCGTTCCTTTTCCCCCTCCAGCTCCCCTTTCCCCTTCTCACCTGCAGTCTCTCTCCGGGGTCCCGTACAGCCAGTACCTCGGCCGCCAGGGACCGACATACAGACACACACTCGGGAGGCGCGCCCTGGAAGTACGTGTTGACGATCTGAAGGGGCGGGAGAGGGAAGTCACATGCATAATAATTATAAGAATAAGAATAACAACAATAACAACAATAATAATAATAATGGTTGGGAAGGCGGGTGAGAGGGGGGCTTTATTGGGGTGCTGGCGAAGAGTGGTGGAGGGCTCGGGAAGTCGCCGTGAAGTCGGAGGAAGGCCGGAAAGCCGCAGACCATTGCCGGAACCTGCTATGTGTGAGCAGCTCCACCACATATCCTTGTTGTCGTACATTTCCTTGTCTTCTTCCATAATAAAAATGACCCACATGTGCAATGCCGTACAGTATTTGGAGGGACCTGCCTGTTGGTTGTTGGTTTTGGGCAACGTCCCTTGTTTCTCCGCCAACGCGAAGGATCGCATGACGACGGCGCATATCGTTTTAATTAAGCCTTTCTCAATTTCATGTTCCAACGCTATGACCGTACACTGTACGGCACCGTACCTTGTTCGCGGTGTACAGCGCGATCTCCCCAGTTGCATTCCCCGCGGGCAGCTCCTTGGCCAGACCCGTGAGAGCGCGCAGGTCGTGGAAGAGGGCCACGACCGGGAGGTTGGGGATGGCCAACTCGGCCTGAATGGCGCCGCCGGGGGGGGGGAGATGGTCGGGTAGGGTGGTGGTGGTGGAGGGGAGGGTCAGAAGATCACCCGCGAAATGACGCTGAGGTGCAGCGCACAGAGATCGAGGAAGGCGGTCTCGAGGTGGTGTGTTCGGCCGCACTTCTTCACATCGAGGCAATACTCGGGTAGTACGCCGGGGTACTTGTAGGAATGAGTTTGTCGCTCATAGGGAGGGGAGCCGCTGTTGGCAGTGCTCGTCCGGTCTTAGTCGTGGCCGAGCTTGCCGAGGTGTTGTGCGTGGCGGTGGCGGTGCCGGTGCGGACCACTTGTTCTTCCTTTCCAGGCTATATGTGTCTTACATTACAACGACAGGCTGTGTGTGCCGCTTTGGCTCGGTTTCTTTGCATATTACGGTATAAAAACTTGGCAGCCCGCTGTAATAATAACAACAACAATAAACGCAGGTGCACCAGAATTTAGCTGCCGATGTCACCATGACGTCACTAACTGAATCGGTGGTTAGTCGGCCCGGGGGTTGGCGGTTGGTCAGTTGGAGGGACGCAGCTGCTGCGGGTGCGGGAAGGTGGCGGGAGAGGAGGGAACTGGAGACGGAAGGACTTTTGGGAGTGTAAGATGGATTGTGATTTGGGATTTGGACAGTGCCGTACACTGACGTACAGCAACGGGGACACGGTCACGAGGTAGCCTTCACACACACCGTCTTCAGGGTGAAGTAGCGGTTTTCGTCAGGTGGTTGGATGTTGTTAGTTGAGGGGCCGTTACCGAACATTCCGTTGGCCGCCATCTCCACATAAAACAACAGCTCCTGAGGGGGTGTCGGTGGGGGGAAGGGAGAGCGGGGGGAGGGCGGGGAGAACCAAACCCACACGGTGGGACCTCAGCACGGGCAAACACCTTTACTGTACTGTACATATACTGCACCGTACTGTACTGCACCGTACTATATTGCACCGTTACTGTATTGCACCGTACTGTACCGTGCAACGACGGAAATGAGGTGAGGTGCGGGAGTGGAGGCGAGGGTCATGTAAGGGCCACGGGGGGGGGGGAAGAGCCCCGCAACAGAAACCCGGAACCGCAGGGGCCCCGACCAGCTCCCGCCGCCCAACAGGCTGCCGGGCCCCCACCGACATACCGACAGTCCCCACCCCGCCCCACCTGGCCCCCAACCGCCCACTCCCCCAGCTGGTACTCATTGCGCTGGTCCGTGATTCCTTGGCGGGGGGTGGGCCCCTCAGTGTACAACATGGCTTCGGAGCCGCTGTCCCACCTGGGAAGGAACCAAATAAGGTCACGGCAGATGATCGTAAACCAATGCCGTACCGTGACGTCGTACAGCAGTATACAGAAGATTAGGGGAGAAAAGGGGAGCAGCAGTCCGCATCGGGTTCGGATGGTGCGGTACACATGCAGACACACCTACAGACACACCTACAGACACACCTACAGACACACCTACAGACACACCTACAGACACACCTACAGACACAGACACAGACACACACGCATTCACCTAAACATGAGGGGCCCCAATCCGTCCCAGTCGGGGGGCACTCGGGCTCGAACACGGAACCAGTGGGTGGTCCAGGAGGGACCAAAGCTGTCGCCCACTTTGGCTGGACAGTACGGCATCCGTATGGCCTCATCGTACGTCGGGTACGGAATACCTGCCGGAAGTCCGCAGTTGCGGCGGGCGAGACCCGTCACGTGCGGCACAAACAACGGCCGGACGCACGTTACTGCCGTTTTTCATGCGGCTTCCGTACATGTGCACGTACATTGGCACGCACATCTACAAGGCCGAGCTTCCCCGCCTCCACCCCTCCAGCCACAGTGCCCCCCTCCCCCCTTCCACCACCCGATAAGTCAATCCCTTCACCTGGCCGACCTGGCGAACGCAGGTTGATCCCCCCTTCCCCGTTTACCCCCGTTTCCCCTCCTCCCCCCCCCTCCCCCTTCCCCCTTCCCCTTCTCGTCTTGTGGTTCGTCTTCCCCCTCTCACCCCGGGGGTGGCTATACACCTCCAGGGACACGCACTCCGCGCACTTCCGGCTCCACATGTCGGCACGGATGGTGCGGTCGGAGAACTGCCCATCCGCCGCCAGGTAGCCGTCCAGCCTCCCTAGAGTGATGTCCCGGTGGTGCTGCGGAACCCAAACACGGCTACTGCTGCTGCTACAGCCGGTGGCGGTGGCGGTGGTGGCGGTGGCGGTGGCGGTGGTGGGGCTGATGGAGGAGGACAAGCCGCGGGGGGGGCACCCTGGTACGCGGCCGCCGAGATTGGGTGGCGCCGGGCCCGCCATCTCCTGAATAGGAGATGAGGGTGAGTTAAAGGCAGAAATCCGGTAAGCAAGCTTAAAATTGGGGGGGTGGGGGCCGTAATGTGGGGGAGTGGGTGAGGGACAAGGAAGTCTCGACAGGAGCGGAAGTAGCTCCGTGTATGGGCTTCTAACAAAGATCACCGGGGGGGGGGAGAGCATCGGTGTTTGTGTAGAACTTTGAGACGGGTAGAGAGAACAGGAAAGGAAAGGAGGGCGCGGGTTGAAAGGCGGGCACTGGCGGGCAATGGATAAATGCATGCTTTATTTATGTGGGAATATTACAAGGCAACAGAAAGTCTGTTCGGTCCAAGGCATGTGCCGCAGAGCAGCACATGGCAACGTGGCTTCCTTACCGAAAGTCAGTGGGGAAACCTGCGCCAAAAGCGTGCTTCTTCACCTGGCACAAGGTATATTGGTATGCTAATAAAGTTGTTGCCCAGCACGGGCTTTCCTTTTAGCACATCGGATGCGCCAATGCGGCTGAACCTTACGTAGTCAAGAGTGTCTGCAACTAAGCGTCAAGGTTCCTGATTCCGCCTATGGCTTTTTGCTGCAATGCACAAGCGGCGTTCCAAAGACTGATCACTGTAAACACGGAAAGTCGTGGTTCACCGGGTGTCGGAGCACATCCGTTAGGACGGTTGAGCATCAGTTACTACTCTTAAAACACCGTATCTTAAGGCGTCGATGCGAAGAGGTGGTTGTGACAAGAGTTGCAACTTTTTATTAACGCTCTGACGTGCTGTGTTGTGCATAAGTTGACGAGGAGCCACCATCGACAAGGAACCCTTGCAAAAGCATTTTTTTGATGGATTTGTAACAGTTCAGCAACCGTTAATAATGCCAGATGCCTTTTAGCTTATAACCTTCTATGGTGCCGATTGTGTATGAAGGATTACTTGGAAAGGCCGACGGAACAGTATGCTGACCGAAAGTGTCAATAAGTGAAAACGACAAGTCGTTTCACTCATACTCGATTAGGCCCACAACATGACCACAGCCGATGTAAAATGTTAGGATAGAGTTAAGGGCCCCGGTGCTTAGCATAAGTAAGCATCTCGGAGAAGACATTCAGTCCAGAGGCTACATAGGACGTGTTACTTTCAATCATATCCTATGGATAGCCAGATGCAAGGATTTGCTTATAACAAAAGTGTCTTAGACGCACGCGGCTTTGCCAAACCCGAAGGTTGGAACCTGCGTCACCTTTGGGCAATCTCAGGATTTGAAGCCATCGGTGGAACTATGATGTAAGATTAAATTCGAACCAGTCGCATAATGATAAAGGTCGACATAGGTCCGTCCCTGCATTCCCGCCACACCATGCCATGTCGCAACTTCGCCGTGCCGATTCACCTTTCCGCATTGTAGAAGCGTCGTGACCACTTGCTTTGACTCAACAATATGGATTGGCCAATCCATGGCAGCGGAAGTGGTCGCCCAGCTGGCGGTAAGTATAGCACCATTACACGTTACGGTCACCCTTCGGTGCCAGCTCGGTTTACCAAGCCTCGCCGCCTCAAGTTCAAGTCCTCCTCAAGGGGTTCAAAGCCCTCCCCTCCCTGGGTGTCTCGTTTTTCCACCAGATCCGCTGCGCCGGGACCCCCCCTCCATCTTCCCCCTGCCCGTGCCGTACATCCAAAATACCTGTGCTGCTCCTCAAGGAGCACAAGCAAACTGTTTTCCTTGACTTGGGATCTTGTTCCTCTCACTTCCCGTGAGCTCAACCCTTCCATCGACGTTGTTCCCCGCCCCGTAACTCGCGTCATCTCAGGAGGATCTGGGTGCCGTACTAACTGAAACGGAGCTTCTGGAATACATTCAGGAGGCGCTGGAGTACGGCACTCGACAACAGCCCTCCATGCGGCAACCGCAACCGCAACTGCCGCAGTCCCAGCAACCACCATCTCAGCAGCCCTGGGCACAGCAGCAGCAGCAGCAGCCGCAGCGGTGCAACAGCTCCTCCGAGGGCTGGGGCGGCGGCTGCCAGCAGTCGGAGCGGTCGGCCCTGGTCCTGCAGCTGCCCCGCAGCACCTCGATGGAAGGGCCGACTGGTGGGGGAGGGAATACCGGGGGAGCACACACGCCCGTACACACAACAACACACAACAACACATGTATACACAACAAGACATGTATACACAACAACACACACTGCACCACACAACAACACACACATACACACACTGCACCTGCTGGGGGTACTGCTGTTGCTGCTGCTGCTGCTACTGCTGCTGCTACTGCTGCTACTCCTACTACTGCTGCTACTGCTGCTGCTAGGTTCCTCGGGTTCCGTCTATGGAGATCTGTTGCCTGAGGTGGGCCGCGGGGGGCCAGTGGGGCCCAGTGGCGGTGCCCCGTGTGGAGGGTGGCCCCGGAGGACTGGAGGGGTCGGCGGTGAGGCCTTCGTGACTGTGTTGCTGCCCCCCAGCCGCTTTGGCGGCAGCGAGGTGGCCATACGGTGGGTGGGGCACTGGGCGTGGGTGCACATGTGTGTGTGTATGGGGGGGGAGTAGTGGGTCGGCATGGGAGTGAAAGGTAATACACGCGTGGGCCCGTACATTCAGCCACGGCCTCTAAATGGTTTTTTACCGTGAGTCTGTATGTATGTATGTCTGCCTGTATGTGTGTAGTTGTGGGGTAGGTGGGGTGCAGAAGGAGGGAGAGGCTTTCGGGCTCTCCTGTGTAACGCCTGTGGTTTCGCTGGGATGGTTTTTTAACCACTAACGATCAACCGTCAAACCAACCATCAACCGCCAACCGTTCCCGCATGGCCTGATTTCTCCATGGATACCTTCAGGCTGCCGTCACAGGGCAACCTGGCGCGCGTGTACGGCAGGGAAGCCCAGGCCGCGTATATGAGTGAGCCGGGAGGGAGCTGTAAGGGGGGGGCCGCAGCAGTGGTGGTGGAGGTGGTGTAGCGAGGCCAAGAGACGGGGGTGACGGCGGCCAAAGGGTTCCAAAGGGTTTAGATGTAAATAAAGATGTCAACGCACACCGCCATGAAAGTGCCAGGGCTCCCCTCGAGCGGTGAAACTCCCTTCCCTGTCGTAGCTGGCCGTATGGGTGCCGTACGGGATAAGGCCCTTTTTTTCCATTTTGCAAAGAATGGAAATATAGGATCGATGGCCGCCAGTGGGATGACGAAGAAACATCTGTTGACCTGCTACTCGAGCTCCTGCTGGACTGGGGCTCGCTGCTGTCGTACTCCCTTGTAGTACAAACATGTGCATCCGCTCGGTCCTCCTTGCGACTCCTGTCCCCCTGGAGCAGCTCTAGTGTCCAACCTCGTCCAACAATCGGACGAGCAGCAGCACGAGCTGGACTCCGTGGTCTCGGAGCTCTCCCGCGTTGTCGAAGAGAACAAGCTTCTCCGGGTGCAGCTGGCAGTCGCCGCTGCCGGAGGCGGTGGAGGCGCTGGGAACGGAGCGGAGGGGCCTACCTTCCGTGAACAGTACGGCATTGCGGGCGCGCCACCGCCACGCCCAGCCGGGGCTGCCGCCGCCAAGCGCCAGCGCACCGCTGCTACTGCCGCGCCAGGCGAACTGCTACAGCTACAGCTGCAGGGCGCCGCCGCCGAGGGCTTGGCAGTAGCGCCCCTCTCACAGTTGCTTCCCCCGTCCCCACAGCCCCTGTTGCTACTGCCACCGCCCACCAGGCCCGCCGTTCTGATGTCGTCACAAGCCTCGCTAGGCTACAACGGCAGTAGCAGCGACAAGGGGGGGAATCTAGGGGGGGGGAACAACCCGGCGGGGGCAGCGAGGCCGGTGCTGTTGGTTTCTGGACGGAGGGGCTCACAGGCGCTGTGCGCGGGACTCAGGGTTGGCCAGGCGGGGAATCCTAGGGGTGCCGGTGGTGCGGGCACGATGGGCGAAGTGGCAGCAGCAGCAGGAGATGAGTGTGCAGCAGAGCCTTCCGGCGCCTTGCACGATGTAGGTGGCGAGGTTGGTCTCGGAGCTGCTGCATCCGACCGCAGCGGTCCTGGTGTTGCCGGTGGTGGTGTTGTTGGTGGTGTTGGTGTTGGTGGTGTTGGTGCTGGTGGTGTTGTTGTTGTTGTTGGTGGTGGTGGTGGGACGGTGCTATTCGAGAAGGGGACACCGGGTCCCGGTACGGAGCCGCTGCAGCCGCAGCTGCCGTCACAGCCGGGGTTGAAGAAGGAGGAGGAGGAGGAGGGGGGTGATGGGGTCGGGGTCGGCGCTGGGGTCGGTGCGACGGGGGTGCCCGTACAGAGGGACCCCTCGCGGGTGGGTGTCACCATTCGGAAGGGGGGCCAGTCCGGGGGTCGTGGGGGTTTCATGCGACGGGCGCCCGTGCGGTGAAAAGCCGACCGCCACTCAAGGGGAGGTCGGCCGCCAATCGCCGTATCTCGCTGTACGGCGCCACATTACCAATGAAAAAGGAACCCCCAAGAACGTTTGCCTGCGGACGGATTGGTGGCACCGGCTGATGGAATAAAGTTCGATATACATACATACATACAAGTCCCTCCGTGAGGTTTGATAATGGTGCCGCCTCAAAACTGCATTCTATACAGCACTTGTACCGCATATCAATCGTCACTGATCAGAGCCCATCAGAGTCAGTTATGTTGCATTCCATACACATACCGCGGATTGCAGGCCTTGACCGCATCGAGACTGAGTTAAGGTGCCGGTCCCTACACGGGGCCCCAGGGGGCTGGCAGCCTGGCATGCGGGTTGGTGCACGGGTGGATAGGGGGGGTCGTGCTGCAGCTGCCATGGCGGTATGTGGCCACTCCTGCGATAAATGTATGTTTGGGACATCATCACTTTGGGGCTTTTGCTGTGCAGTCCTATGTCCCTTGTACTGCTACTGCAGCTAGACCACCACCACCAGCAGCAGTGCGCCACTCGCCAGGTGAACTCGCCCACGTAAGCTGATCCATCGCACTATCATTAGCGATACTGCACTTTCTTCCCCGCCCACCATGCGTGTGTATGTGTTGACTACATAGCTTGCCGGGCCTGACGCTGGCCAGGGCTGCTGCCCCTGCTGTATGATGTGTGGGATAGGAGGGTCATATCTTCACCCGTGGCCGCTACCCGGCAGACCCTGCCTTCCCCGGTATTTCGGGGCACCCACCCTAGCCGACTTCTCAGTGGATCGCCCAGATTCAGCACCACCACCGGCACCCAACGGAATTTGCCGGATTAATAGCGGCCCAACTTCATTCTGGTCAGCCCGCAGGTCTACTTTATCCCAAGTCACCACCATCCATCGACTAGGGGGACTCTTACCTTCCACGAGAAAGACATTCGACCCCGATAGGTCTCGATCCCGTAACCTCCGGAGGCATCGGTGTGTGCGTTACCAGTAGTGCCTGAACTGATTTGCTGTATGTGTGAAACAGGGGGGTGTATCTTCGCCCGTGGCAGCTACCCTGCGAAACCCTGCCTTCCCCGGTATTTCGGGGCACCCTCATCCAGTCACCCTAGTCAACTTCTCGGTGGATCGCTCAGGTTCCGCACCCACCACCAGCATCCAACGGAATCTGCCGGGTCGACAGCGGCCCAACTCCATTCTTGGTCGGCTCGCAGGTTAAATTTATCCCAGGTCACCACCGTCCATCAAATAGGGGCGCAATGCCTTCCACCATCGGAAGGACTTTTGACCCTAACGGGTATCGATCCCGGGATCTCCCGGGGGCAATGGTCGCGCCTTACCAGTGGTGCCAAACCCTTATATGTATGTGTATGAGTTTTGAATAACACCCTCTCAACAAAACAGGCATCACCTGCCTCCCCTCCACATCGCTGCATTCGTTGCCTTCATAGTCCCCTCGCCTCGCGAACCTCAACACCGCACGAGTCCAAGCCGCGTCCGGTGGCGCAGGCTGAGCCCCTCAACCCTGTTGCTCTTCAAGCAACAGGACGACGGGGCTCTCCTCTACGAGAAAAGTTAATGTCATGCGGCCCTAGCTCACGAAAATTTGGTATGGTAGCGCTGACATTGCTGCTGCGTTGTCCTAGTCCACCCGCAACGGCCCCCAGCGCGGGAAAGCATTTTAGCAATAACACATGTATATGTGTCTATATGTATATGTCTTAATGTACGTATGTATGTATATGTGTGTGCTGGTCACTTGGCGGTTTCAACACCAATGGGGCAGTATATGTGGAGTTCCATGGCTCCGGAAGTCCAGCGCTTATCCGGCGTCTATACATGTGTTGGCGTGATGCTGGAAGGAAGCATGCACGGCGTGGAAATGCACAACCGGGAATATGGCGGGAGATGGCGGGATGAACGGAGTCACACAGCGCGACACACAGATACCTTCCGGTCTCAGCCCGCGCGGAGCTTTTCCAGCCCTGAAGCATTCGGCAGGAAAAAGAGCAGGCAAATCCTCACCCACCATCCTAGATTTATGGGGCCGGTGTCTGTTGCACTAGCGTCAGGGCCCATGCAAGGATAGCAGACAGCACACCAATTATAGTTGTACTGGACGGCAGAGTCCCTAACTCCCGGTCGTTAATGGAAGAGCAACAATAGCAACGGAGGCGCAGCTCTAATCCGCCTATCGCTCCCTCGGTTAGCGCGGCATCGGCTTCCCCTCATCCGCCATTCATCCCCCCCCCCTCGCAACACCTCCTCCAGCGCACCGTGCAGAGCTCTCACCAAGACAGCACCTACCCCCCACCTACCTTGGGGTGTCCATGTCCAAGTCCAAGTAACCCCCCCTGCCTTGGGCCCCCTGCTTTGCCTGGGACCCAACGGACCGCAAACATGGTCAAGCAAGCCGAGCATCCATCCATGCAAGTACTTCAGTACACCTTTTCACTTTTCAAGAAGCCTGCGCTCACGACAACACACTCACACACAGGCCGTCTTGCCGTCCGTACACCCCACACACCTTGACACGCACCTTGACACGCGCACGCATGCTCCAACCCAGCTGTTTTTGATCCGACAACCGTGTCTGACACTCAGAGACCCCCATCTGCCGCCGCACGTACTGGTGTGCGCCGCTCCCAGCATTAACACCCCCCGGTGGTACCTCTCCCACCCACATCCGCATCCGCACTACCGGCATCCGCACTACCGGCACCCGCACTACCCCCAACAACCTCTCCTGCGACACCGCTATCCAGGTCACCCCCATCACCGCGGTCCACAGCGCCCCGGCCGCTACCGGTGGGGCTCACCAACAAGTCCGCCAGCGATGCGCCGCCGCCCCGAGACCAGGACATCCCGGACGCACCCCCGCCACCCCCCGCCAACCCCGACGCCAGCTCCAGCAAAGAGTTATCGCCCTCCAGGACCTCCGCCGGCTCCAACAACGGAGGCAGCCCGAAACTGCCACTCGGAGTCCGCCAGCCGACACCGGCACCTCCGCCAGCTGCGTCCACATGGACGCAGCCATCGGCTGGCACGCCAGCCAACGCCGGCATCTGACCCGTGGTGGTTCCCAAGGGCCCCACGGCGGCGGCCGTGAGAGTTTCCTGCTTCATCGCAATCAGTGTCCCGCCACCCGTGTGAAACACGTTGCTGCACCCCATCTGGGCGGACGTCTCTGCCGCTGTGTGGGACTCCACTCCGCCTGTGGCCCCTGTGACACAGGGCCCCGAGCCGAGCGCCGGCACCTTGTGCTCGCGACCGGGTGCGCTGCGTGCGTCAGCAGCTGAGGGCGATGGCGGCACAAGCTGAACAGGAGTGGGGGCCGGAGCTGCCCCAGCCGGAGCTGACCCCAGCGGTCCCGCAGCTAAGCCGGGAATGGTCAGAGCGCCCCCACCAGTACCGCCGAACGGACCTGCAGGGGGGAGCTCCGGAATAGGCCGAATGAAGGGAGTCGCGCCGCCAAACGGCCCGGGACCGGGCGCTGGCACCGGCAGCGGCAGCCGGGATGAGGCGGCGTGGCCACTGCCGGGTAACTTTCGGCCCCCGCCAAAAGCGGCTGTTGTGGCTGCGACGGGAGCCTGGTGCTGTTCCTGAATTTGCTGAAATTGGTGCTGCCCATGAAGCTGATTATGGTTATGATGATGTTGCTTAGGGTGGTTGTGGTAGTTCTCCAGCGCCGTGGTCACCTCCCGGTGCAACCGCACCACTCGTGCAGGCGCTGGGGCGGCACTGTGGGCCTGGGAGTCCAGAAGCTGCCGCAGCGCTGCCGCAACCGCCTGAAGACATAACACGGCTGAAGCCTCGGCCTCGGCTGCTTTGCCATTACCACTGCCAGCTGCGGGAGCTGGTGCCGCTGCCGCTGCTGCTGCTGCTGCTGCAGTACTCGGCATCGACCCTTGCTCCGCAGGTGCCGCTACTGCTGCCGGCTGCATGGGCAGTTGCATCTGGTCATGTTGCACCGCCTGGAGCTGCGGTACTTGAAGCAGGGTCGTGACGGTGCGGGTCGGGATCAGCTGCTTCGGGAAAGCCTCCGGCGGTGCACTGTGGAGGTGCTGGAGGACTCCGTTGGCCAGCAGCGGCCCGGGGGGAGGGTCCATAGCGCCGGGCATTAGCTCAGCGCCGGCGTCCGCCGCACCACCGATGAAGCAGCCGCCGTCGCCGGCGATCGGCCCAGCTCCCGGGTCCAGATACGCCAGACCTCCGGGCGCATGTGCCCCGACTTCGTCGCCTATCAGCCGCAAGGTTGCGTCGCCAAAGGTCAATAGAGAGCCATCCAGGGACATGTTGCTCAGGCCGCTCGTGACGCCGGTATCCGCCGGTATCCCGTCGGCAGCAGCAGCACCATCACCATCACCGCCACCACCGGGGGCGGCGGGGTGCGGGCCGACAGGCGACGGCGGCGAATGCATGGACCGCGGGAATGGTGGCTGCAATACCAGCGGGCTATGTGGCAGAGGATGATGATGATGGTGATGATGATGCGGCACGGCGTCCGTGACCGCAAACAGGGCTTGTGGGGTCTGATGGCCACTCAGCACCGCGTGTTGTGTGACCCCCCGAGGGTCACCAGGCGGGGAGTGAAAGCCGCCCTGTGCTGCGCAGGGCGGCGGAGAGGTGCGCTGGAACACTGCAGGGCCCAGCAGCTGCTGCTGCTGCTGCATGGCCACAAAGGGCGACACAGAAGGGGGCCCGCTGCTGCCCCCACTCAGGGCGTTGAGGGAGGTGGCCGAGCCGCCGGAGGGTAAGGAAGGGACTTGAAGTTGCAGTCCGGGGGCAGCCGGGCAGCTGGTGGTGCGGGTGGCATCTGCTTCGGCAACTGCGGCTGAGGGCCAAGGATGCACGTAAAGATGCTGCGGGGGCTGTTGACAGTGGCGGTGATTCTGGTGCGGTTGTTGCGCGGCGGTCAGATAGCCCTGCAGTCCTTGCTGCACCTCCTGGTCAAGATGCTGCGGTTGCTGCTGCTGCTGCTGCTGCTGCGGCGGCGGCTGGGCCTGCTGCTGCTGGTCGTGAGCCTGCTGCATCACCGCATGCAGCTGCGCCTGCTGCTGTTGAGGCTGCTGTTGCGGCCGCTGAGATATCTGGGGCACTGGGGACGGCGTCGATGGCAGCTGCAGCTGCCACTGCTGAGAGGGGGGCGGTAGTTCCCTCGGCAGTTGCAACATGGGGGGTTGTGCTCCTGCAGCCACAGCTGATGGACCCCCCGCAGCCGCCATCGTGGCCGCCGCCGCCGCCGACTCCGCTGCAGCGTTACCCCACAGCGGTACCTGCTCCAAAGCCAGCTTCCAGCCGAGTGCACATGCTGCCAGGTACGATGGAAAGCCGTACGATAAGTAGTCGGGCTTTATGTTTCCCGTATCGCTGGACAGCACGGAATTGTAAAAGTCCTGGATGATGGTTTTTTGGAGCTCCTCTCGCCCGTTTAGGCAGTAGCCCGGTTTGGCGGCCTGACCAGCAGCGGTGCAATCCACAAGGCCGGGACATGCAGGCTCTGGCGCGACTCAGGAAAAAAGGCGAAGGCCAAAGGGCATTGCGGTTGCGGAATGGAGGCCAACAGCACAACCAGCTTTATGCGCACCCAGCTACCTGACCCTTTGTTGGTTGCGTGGGTGGGTGGGCCGGATCCGCTGTCGACAGGCAGCACCTAGTCGCGCTGTGCGTTGTGTGCTGTGTAGCGATATGGCGCCTCGCGTACCCCTAACGTGTGGTTAGGGGTTATAAAATGCGCATACAAACGGCGCCCTGGCTCCCTTCTCCGCCCAAATGACGGACGGGATGAAATACCCCCTTTAACCCCCCCCACCGGGGGTCACAAGTCCCAGAACAATAATTCCCTGCGTTACGGTGTAATAAACTCCATTCCACCAGCGTCACACGGTGGCCAAACTCAGCAGCCACTCACGTACCTCGCCTGTGTACACACAACTCGCCACACAGTCCCAGGGCCCCCTAAGACGCCCCACGCGGAAAACGCGCACGCCACAACCTGCGTGCATACCTCCTTCCCCACATGAATTTCAGAAACCTCAACCTAATCCCCCTCGACTGGCAATTCCCAAGCCGCCTACAACGCCTTTTGCTTCCTCCCTCCTCCTCCTCCACCACCTCCTCCACCTCCTCCACCTCACCTTTTCCATCGCCGCAGTGAAGGCCATGCAGACGTCCGCCAGCACCAGGAAGCCCAGTGCGCAGTTGTTGGTCTGGCCAAAGTTGCCCGGAACTCCGCAGCAGCCCGTGACACTGCGGGGGGCTTGCTGGCTCCGCAGCGTGAACTGCAAGTGGCGCCACGTGCACATATGTACACATGAGGATGTGCATGTGCATGTGCACATAAAGGCACATGCACCGGGGAATGAGGGAAGTGGGGGCACCTGGGGAGCAGCTGCGGCCCGGACTGAGGACTTGAAGCCATAGGGGGCCTCAGAGGGCTGCCAATTACCAATTACCAATTACCAATTACCGATAGAATATCACCAGGCCGTGATTCGAATGCCTCGGTGTGGCTTGTGGGGGCAACATGAGCAAGCAAACAAGCAGACTTACATGCACCACCTCTGGGACCTACTCGTTCCACGCCCACATCCCGCACCTTCAAGCGGTTTCCGTTCCACGTGCCCGACATGTGGAAGGGATACACAGGCACGTAACGGCCCTGTGTGTTCTTCTCGCCACGCATCGCTAGGGGCCGCAGCCCGTCGCGCTGCCCGCCCGTCGCCCAGTCCCCGGCGGACGTGGTCTTCACCCCGGGAAAGAGCGGCTCCAGGCGGTCCAAGGTGCCCTGCACCCACCGCGCCGCGGCGCAGTACACGGGCCCCTCAAGCTGCCAGCTGCGCTCCCCCACCAGACGATGCAACCAACGAGTAGCCTCCCTGCGCTCCTCCGCATTGCTGATGTTGGCGGTAGTGCTGCTGCTGCTGCTGCTGCTGTCCGAGGCCCCACGCAGGCCGTGAAAGTAGCAGTGCGTGAAGGCGGCCCAAATGCGGAAGGCGCTGGGGTCATGCAAAGGGTGCGGCTGCGGTACGGTGGCGGGGAAGCGGATGAACTGCCGAGCGTGTTCGGCCACCTGGGCCTTGAGGGCGGCCCAGGTGTCCGGGAAGCTCCAGGTCATGAACTGCAGCGCCGGGTGGGGGGAGAGGGGGGAATTGGGGAAATTTGCGCCGTTGGCACACTTGGGCGGAGCAGACCTCCGCAAAGAGGGGTTGTTGGCGCGAGGCAGGGAGATGGTGCAAATGAAAGGGGAGAGGGGCCTGTAGGGGAATCGTGTTTGTGGCTTCTTCCCGCAAGCGTGCTCTGAAGAAAATGGCAAGGGAGGATACGAGGGGGGAGGGGAGTTGCAGTATTCGAGCGGCCTCGTAACACTTGGTACGGAATGTGCCCACCTCTTGCAGTGCTGCTATATACTCGGACGCGACCAAAAGGAGCTGAAAGCACCAAGGGGGCCATACTTCCGTATCTTCGGCGACGACCCGTTGCGGTGGAGGTATGCAGACAATGCACTCCCGACCGTCAAGGCCGGGCACCTGGAAGAGTACCACTCAAGTTGCGGCTAAACATTATGAAATACTTGCAAAGGCAGGTACAGCTTACCAGTAACCGGAGCTTGTAACCATTGCCAGCATCTTGAACGAAGGACGGGAACTCCTTTCCGCGAACTGACATCACTGTAAATCCTAGAAGCTATCGCCGAAGGCTATGCATAAGTGAGTAAAACTCTAGTAAAGCGCATGGTCATCTCTTTGCCTGCTTCATGAATGCGACTCTATCGACGCAGCCTTCCCTTGAAGGCGCATATTAATCTTAGTGAGAGGAAAAGCTGGGCATGCTATTTTTTTGGGGTCATGGCTTTTGGATTCATTTAGTACATGCATGTGCTCGTGGCAAGCGTGCGGCAACAGTCTTGCACAGCATGGCAGGAGCACAATTCAATGGACAAATCATGGTGCGTCTTACCCGAAAGAACAATTCATGTATTTTACACAATTCACATTAAATTTATGAATAAAAAGTCACTTTCCATCCGTTGGGCTGGGGAGAAAGTCAACTTTCCCCAAGGTACCAAAAGTTCCGGAATCCGTACATGGAACGTTTCGCAGCACACCTTCCCAGCAGGCTTCTGACCACATTAAAGGGCTTGGCGACTCTGTCCGAAGGCACGAAGTCGGGTGAACTCCTGGCAACATGAAGACAAACACGCCAACGCAGTACGTCTTGGAGTCAGGACAGAGTAACGGAGGTAGGGCGGCGGATGCAAAGGATAAAGATCCTCCAGGCCAAACAAACATCGGCTCCCGCTACCTCTCCTCATAGATCCAGGTATAACCCAAAAGACTCATCTGGCACGGTGGGTTCATGAATTGACGCGCAAGGTCACCAAAACCGTCAGCGACTCCAATCCATAAGAGGGCCGGACAACCTCACACGCAGCCGGGGCCCCATGCAGCCAAGAGGAGACACCTGCCAGGACGACACTCCAAGCCGCGTTCCCCAAGCCATTCTGTGGCTCCCCAAGCCATGCCCAGACATGACATGCAGCCAACCAACTCGACGCATAAGAGCGCGCTTCACACACTGCATGACGTGCGCAGAGACACCTTCCAGGGCGCGCACAGACCTCCTTTAGGAAGCTATCCCCATACAGCGATTACATACAGCGACTACGTCTCGAGACTCTCGTCCGCATCGCAGTCCATTTCACAGGAACTCGTCGCCTGCGGCGACGCCAGCCGGGCAATAAAATACCCACATGAATGCGACAATTTTATCACGCCCAATTATACAAGGACCATGGGCCCTTCCGGCTTTGACGGACCTCCTCCGCACTTTGTGCGGACAATGTAACTTTAGCTATAACTGCAAGGACAAGGACACAGTTCTCTCTCTCTCATCCAACCTGCAAATGTAATTGCTAACGAAATTTCAAATAACAACTTTGGGTAACCCCCGGATGATATACATGATGGCGAGAGCCATTTCGTTGAGGAAGGAATGTCGGCACACGACCAAAAATAGCTTTGAAGTGCACACAGAACGAGCCTCACGTCAGAACACGAACGCGCCCGTGGCGCCGAGTCCAGACAGCCACACCATAGAACCAACCGAATATCAATTTAACGTACCTGCAGAGCATCCCCACATGCCCCAGCCAGGTGGGAGCTCGGAGCTTTGGGAGTTGTAACCTCGTATCGATCAAAACGAAATCCGCCAAAGCAAATTTACCCCACGTATACAAAGCGCATCCCCCCCCCACACACATCCCTTCCATCGCACAACAACACAACAATGGGCAAGGACACGATCACCTTGCTTCCAGACTACACTACATTCACTATACATGCCTCATGAAACACGCAACTCCCGTTCTCAGGCAGGTCCAGTGCCCGCTACCACCATCTGCAGTGACCCCGTCGCATGCGTGTCATCCATACCCATAACCACATATATATATATATATATATGCACATCCAACCCGCAGCCATCTCAGCGCCACATCCGCGGCGACCAGGAGGCGCTGCTCCCCCCTGCCCTCATGCTCATTACGGTCATGTAAGCCACATATCAAGAGAAAACTTCACTGCCTGTCAGTAAGTTAGGGCCGCCTATATACTTCAACGATCTAATCCGGGCCGTGGGCAGGAATCGGCGAAAACGGTACATGATTAACTTTGGTAGGGCTGTGATCCCCTGACCTCTTAATAACGTTCGGTAGAGGTAAATAACATGTAAAACATGAAAATTGCTATAGGTTCTTCATTCATTAGGCAGAATTACGGCTGCTGCCCCATCCATGTGGATGGGGGCCAAAGAGCCACAGCTCCGTATATCGGCTAGAGGACCGTAGGTGTCCGGACAGCCCTTTCTCCCCCCCGTCCGGTAAGCTAGCGTGGGAACAGACGTGCACCTGGCATCTCGGTCGTCACTGTGCGACCGCGTAGGGACGATAGCTGCGGATCCCCGTAACGAGGTTTAGACAGGTTGAGCAGTGGAAGGCCACCGGCTGCGGGCGACGGGAGCGCGTTGTTGGCCGCCGCGAGGACTGGGTCTGAGGAAAGGCCTGGGACTCCGCTTGCCCGGTTGCCCGAGCACATCACTCCTGCATTACCAGCAGCACCTGCGGCTGCCACGGAGGGGGAAACACCGCCGCCACTGCCGCCGGGCACGCCAGTTGTGTCAAGGTCTGCGGCAGGTTCCAACGCTTGCACGCCCAGGGTCCTGGGCACCGCCCGCACCCCCGACTCGCTGCATCGGTCCGGATAATCTGTGGATCCGACCCGTGGGTCAGCCTGCGGTGTGAGGCAGTGCCTGTTCGAAGTATCCTCGTCCGTCTGGCCTCCAGAAGGGGCGTTGTGAAGTGCTGGTGGGGCCAGCAGCTGCTGCGGGGACGGCAATGGATCGGCTGGCAACGCCTGTGGAGGACGCTTCGTGGCGTGTGCGGTCATTGGCGCGGCTGGGCCCTGCTGGGCAGCCTCCGAGCGCATGACGTCCCGCGGAGCACAGAGCTCAGGAGGCCGAGGCAAGTCGGGCGATGCCGAACACGTAATAGGTGCATCCCGAGGACCTGTAGGAATCGGGAGGCGTTGCTGTTGTTGCTGTTGCTGCTGTTGATGATGTAAGTTCTCCTCGTGTGACCAATGTTCTCGCTTCACAATACCCTGATGCTGTTGTTGCTGTTGTAAATGCTGCAGCTGTATTTGCTGTTGCGACAGTTGAAGCCGTTGTTGCTGGTGCAGAGATGACGGGTGCTGTCGCTGCTGAAGCTGACGCAAAGGTAGCTGTTGTTGTTGTTGTTGCTGTTGTTGTTGTTGAAGCCGCTGCTGTTGTGATCGCGGTGGCGGCAGCTGCTGTTGTTGCTGTTGTTGCTGTTGTTGCTGTTCCGACGGCGATAGCAGCGATCGTTGCTGCAGCTGTCGCTGTAGCTGTTGCTCTTGCAGCGGTTGCTGCTGTCCTTGTTGCTGCCGCTGCAGCAGCTGCAGCTGCTGCTGCTGGGCCGCCGTGAACACCGTGGGCCACCGTGACTCTAGCGTGGACCACCCGTTCAAGTCAGTCGACTCGGTGCCGCAGGCGGCGAAAAACCTTGACCTGGGAGTCCTCATTGCTACCAGTCCCTCATCCAAACCCAAACTGCTACCTAGGTCACCAGCAGCAGCAGCAGCGGCAGCAGCAGCAACGGCCCCCCGAACCTCTGCAACCGCCCCAGCAGCTACCCCATGCTGCACCAGATCCGTCTGGAGCTGCATTGCCTGCTGCTGCTGCTGCTGCTGCATCGGCGGCTCAAGGCGCGGCTGCACCCGCCGACGTGCATCCTGGACCGATCGTTGCCGCTGCCGCTGCCGCTGCCGCTCGAACCTGGGTTGCGACGGGCCTGGCTGTGGCTCCCCCGGTGCTCCCGACTGCCGCCGTAGCCGAAGTTGCTGGAACAGTTCCTCCAACCCATGCAGTGCCATCTCCGTAGGGATCAGCAGCTCCCGCGTTGCATCGGGGTCTAAACCCGCCGACGCCGCCGACCCCGCCGCCGCCGGCAGCCACAGCGTCACCTGCTCCAAAGCCAGCTCCCAGCCTAAAGCACTAGCCGCCAGGTACGATGGATAGGCGTGTTGCTGATGACCCTTTATGAGGTCCGCTGTGTCGCTCTTGAGAACAGTGTGGATGAAGTCCTGCATGACTTCCTTCTGCAGCGGGACCTGCCCTTGAAGTCCAGCGGTGCACCGGACGGCCTGCAACATCGGGCAGTGCAGCAGCAGCAGCAGCAGCAGTGTTGGCAGCGTCCTGGTGGGAGGAATCTCAATCGGTGGAGACGCGAGTGTATAACAAGACCGATACGCCGCCACATACTTACTCCGCATACTCCGCATCCGATCTGCCTCAGCAGGTGTGCTTACCCTTACCATGCCCTTAAAGCCCTTAACAAGTTACAAGTTACAAGTTACAAGTTCCGCACACAAGTGCGGGTGTGTCCGTAAAAGCCGGGGGGGCCATGGACGTTGTATTGGTATTGATGCGGGTACGCGGGAGGTCATCTTCATTCTCCCTCGTCCGCTTCAGGGCGAAGCGCCTCAGCGCGACGTGCCTGGCCTCCCAGATTTCCGAGAGGTACCTGGCCAATGCCAGGGGTGGCGCCTCAGTCATAGTGGTGCGCATGCTGCGCCCCGTAAGGACTAGGTCACCATCATACTTAGCCCGTATGCTCTTGTAAGCGGGACATTCTTCGAAAACATGCAACTCATCTTCAACCGCTCCACAGTCACAAAGCCTGCAGGTACGCGCGGTGCGCTCACGCCCATTAGGTCTATTAACCTCTAACTCCCAACAGCCTAACCGAAAACGCATGAGCACATGATGAAGTCGCTGGGGCATGGTCCCTTTAGTGTGCTCCAGCCAATCAAGACGCGCACCCCTTGACGGGGCAGCTCCCATCCAGTTCATATAGCGACACGCCTTGGCTCCGGTAATTCCTATGGGGAAGACGCGGGGGTCACCCAAGGTATTCGGGCACTCCCACCGAGCATCAAGCCGCTGGCAAAAACCTTAAGAATGCTCTCGACTGGCAATTTAAGGGTGGTGTAGTACGATATAAGATCATTACCGCGCGTATTAGTGGGGGGCTCCACTCCTAAGCTAGTAAGAAAGGCTAGTACCTTGCTTGCCCAACACTCAGTGGCGCCCCCAAGTGCCAACTCCAGGTCAGCGACAAATGCCCGGTGACACAACGTTCCCGGCCTCTTAACCACAGAGTTCCAAAACCTAAGTACAAGATTGGTCCAATGGAACTGGAGTGGCCTCTGTGACAGCTCGCGATATAGGGAAACCATAGTCGGGCTCCTCGCCCCAACTACGGTTCGCATGTAAGCACGTTGTTCATGGGATTAGCCATAGCACCTTCAAAATTCACATTAATGAAGTCAGGTCCCCAAACTTGCGCTCCATAAGAAAACACCGGTACAACTAGTGTATTGTAGAGAGACATACATAGCTTGGGGGTGGTAATTTTCTTATCACGACACAGGGTGCTGAGCCCAAATGTGGCCCGCCTCCCTGCTGTGAGTAGTTGCTTGGTACAAGCTGAGAACTGCACTCCTGGGCCATAGTGCAACCCGAGATACCGTGCCGTCTCGTTGCCGGTCAGGACCCGCAACCCCACCCCACCTAACCGGTACTCAGCTTCAACAAGCCGCTTCCGCTCACGCGTAGCACCCCCAAAAATGAGGACCTCGCACTTGGCGGCATTCGCGGCCATACCCGTCGCTTTGCAGTAGGCTTCGAGTAGCCCCAGAAGGCATTCAGCTCTATCGTGCCCTGTCGCTACTAGTGACACATCGTCAACGAAAAGTAGGTTAGTGAGATCACCGCCCGCCAGGCTAACACTCTGCTCACGAAGGGTGCTCCATCGGCTGGGGAGGCATACACGGCAATTAGCATCATGGGCATCAATATAATGAGCGAATACTTCTATGAAGAGCCCAAAAAGGTTACGCTAAGG